GCTACTTCCATCATCCTTCTGATCTCTCCTCTCTTCTCGGGCCAGGCAGACACACTCTGGATGGCCACCCATTCTGCAAGTTTCTGTTTGTAGAGAGTAAGTGGAAAGGGCTTTGAAATGCTGCTCTTTGAGGGCGGGGATGGACCTTTACTTACAGCTACTCCACTTTCCATGCACAGCAGACCTAGCTTGCCTGCTCTACAGTTAGATTAAAAACCAACAAAACTGTACTGTTCCTACCCCCAACACTAAGCAGGAAGGAAAGATGCCAGAATGTGCATTTTTAACCACCAAGCATATGATTATAAGCCATACAATCCCAAAAGTAAGTTTATATCTATAGCCAACAACATTGCAACAGAAAGAAAACATACTTCAATGTCATGATCCAAGTTAGTTCACTTGTCTCCGTGGCAGCAGCCAAGATGTAAGTTTTGGAGGGAAAAGTCAAAATGTTTCATCTAAAGTGGTTCTTCCAAAAGTAAACTGAAGTCTTAATTCTTTCAGATAAAAACCAAGCTACAGTTTAAATATAATATCATGGAATCACTCAGAACAGGCTGCATTCAAGCTGTCTTTTTTTTTTTTTTTTTAAATCTGTAACTATCACAAGAAACTATAGATGAGATGAGAGAAAAATAACAAATGAGCATTATTTGTGGAGACAGATAATTAACTGTCAGATGACGAGAGCCTGCCTTTTTACCATCATGCAATGAAGAAACATAAAATTTTAATACTTGAAAAATCTCTCTGACTTGACAAGATTGAAGAGACAGCTCCTCACCTTGACATAGCGGTCCTGGTTTTCATCAATATACTGGAAGATGGCTTTGAGGGATGACATCTTTCAGGCAGACTTCAGACCTTGGAGATTATGAGCAGAGAGAGCAAGAGTCAGACCTGCTTGTAGCTGGGACTGAATGACAGTGGCCAGAGGAGCCAAGTGAGGATTGAAAGCATTTCTCCACCCTCCGGTCAGCATTGTGTTGCAACACTTATCACAGGACTCTCCAGGAAGTGACTGGGAACCAGCCAGGGGCTTAGAATGGTTTTCTGCTTCCTTGCTCTAAAAGGAAAGCTCCAGAAAATTTTGTGTTCAAAGAGGAGAGCCCCGGTGACTCACAATCTGAAGAAACAATCAGTGGGTATCTTCCAATCATACAGATTTATTGTTCATTTTATTTTTTTGAGGCAAGGTCACACAATAGCTGTCCTGAAAATTTCTGTGTAGACCAGGCAGTGTTCACACAGAAATTTACCTGCTTTCTGAATGCCAGGATTAAAGGTGTGTATCACCATGCCTAGCCGGCACTTAACTTTTTAAAATATTATACTTAAAAAAATTTTTTTGAGACGGGACCTCTTGTGGCCTGAACTAGCCTGAAACATCTGATCCTCTTCCCTCTACCTTCTGAAGGTTGGAATTACATGGCCAAACCACCAACCCTGATTTATGTAGTGCTAAGATCAAAGCCAGGATTTCCTGCAAGCTAGGCGAGCACTCCACCAAACCAGTTATAGTCCCAATTTTATACTCTTTTGTTTGTTTGTTTGTTTGTTTTTGTTTTTTGTTGTTGTTTTTCGAGACAGGGTTTCTCTGTGGCTTTG